CTTTGGGAGGATGAAGTGGGCGGATCACTTGAGCTCCAGAGTCTGGGACCAGCCTGGGAAAAATGGTAAAAATCATCTCTACAAAAAACAGCCAGGCATGGTGGCACACACCTGTAGCCTCATCTACTCAGGAGGTAGAGGTGAGAGGATCACTTGAGACCAGGAGACAAAGGCTACAGTGAGCTATGATCATGCCACTGTACTCCAGCCTGGGCGACAGAGCCAGATCCTTCTCAAAAAAAAAAACACACAAAACAAAAAACAAACAAAAAAATGGACTTAAATGTAAAATATAAAACTATAAACCTCCCAGGGCAAAAGGAGTCTCAGGATCTAGGGCTAGGTAAAGAGATCTTAGATTTGACACCAAAAGCATGATCAATAAAAAGAAAAAACAAATTAAGATTTCATCAAAATAAAAAACGTTTGCTCCGTGAAAGAGCTGGTTTAATGTATGAAGGAGAAAATGTTTATAAACCATATATGTGACAAAGATTCATATCTACAATACATAAAGAAATCTCAAAAATATCCAGTTAGAAAATGAGCAAAAGACATGATATGTTTTACCTGAAGGAATATACGGATGACATAAAAAGATGTTTAACATCATTAGCTATTAAGAAAATAATGTAGAGAAACTGAATCAGCCATATACTGCCAGAGAAATGTAAAATAAACTCTAGAAAACAGTTTGTTGGCAGCAGGGCTGGCTTAAAAAAAAAACCATATATATATATATTTATTTATTTATTTATTTATTTATATAAAAATAGAGAAAAAAAAAGTTTGTCAGTTTCTTGAAAAACTAAATAACTAAAAAAAAAGTTAAAAAGAAAAAAAGGAAAGAAAAACTAAATAACATTTGACCCAGCAACTGCACTCATGGATATTTATCCCAGAAAAACAAAAACTTATAGTCACTCAAAAACCTACACAGAATTGTTTATATACTAACTCTTCTTTCTTTTTTTTTTGAGACGGAGTTTCGCTCTTGTTACCCAGGCTGGAGTGCAATGGCGTGATCTCGCTCACCGCAACCTCCGCCTCCTGGGTTCAAGCAATTCTCCTGCCTCAGCCTCCTGAGTGGCTGGGATTACAGGCACGAGCCACCACACCCAGAATTTTTTGTATTTTTAGTAGAGATGGGGTTTCAGCATGTTGACCAGGATGGTCTCGATCTCTCTTGACCTCGTGATCCACCCGCCTTGGCCTCCCAAAGTGCTGGGATTACAGGCTTGAGCCACCGCGCCCGGCCTATACTAACTTTTCTTAACAGCCAAAAACTGGAATCAACCCAGATATCCATCAATTACTGTACGATTAAACGAACTGTAACATCCATACCAATGACTACTATTGAGAAGTTTAAAAGGATCAAACTCAATACACACAACAATCTAGATGTATAGCCAGAGAATAATGCTGACTTTACAAAGCCAGTCCCTCCCCCTTGGATAGCTCAGCTGGTAGGTGCACACCTGTGGCCATCTTTAGGTTGCTGGTTCAATTCTGGCTCAAAGGAGAGGCACCTTTGTTTAGCCAGGTGCTGTGGTTCATGCCTGTAATCCTAGCACTTACGGAGGCTGAGGTGGCCGTATCACCTGACATTAGGAGTTCGAGACAAGCCTGGCCAACATGGTGAAACCTCATCTCTACTAAAAATACAAAAATTAGCTGGATGTGGTGACAGGTGCCTGTAACCCCAGCTACTTGGTAGGCTGAGGCAGGAGAACTGCTTGAACCTGGGATGCAGAGGTTGCAGTAAGCCCAGATCATGCCACTGCACTCCAGCCTGGGTGACAGAGCAAGTCTCTGTTTCAAAAAAAAAAAAAAAAGCCAGTCTCAAAAGGTTACATATTGGCTGGGCATGGTGGCATAAGTCTGTAATCCCAACACTTTGGGAAGTCAAGGTGGGTGGATCACTTGAGGTCAGGAGTTCAAGACCAGCATGGCCAACATGTGACATCTTGTCTCCACTAAAAATACAAAAGTTAGCCGAGTATGGTGGTACACATCTGTAACCTCAGCTACTTGGGAGGCTGAGGCAGGAGAATCGCTTGAACCCAGGAGGCGGAGGTTGCAGTGAGCCAAGATCGCGTCACTGCACTCCAGCCTGGGCAACAGAGTGAGACTGTGTCTCAAAAAAAAAAAAAGTTTACATATTACATGATTCAATTTATGTAACATTCTTTAAATGACAAAATAGTGAAAATAAACAGATTAGTAGTTGCTAGTCATTTGAAGGAGTTGGGTTGGGGATGGAAGGGAAGTATGTGTAGCCATAACATGGCAACTGAAGGATCTTTGTAGTATAGAAATGTCCTGTATCTTGACTTAACATCAATACCCTGCTGTGATACTGTACTATAGTTTTGCAGGATGTTATCATTGAAGGAGACTGAGTGAAAAATATAGGGAATTTTTCTGTATTGTTTCTTATAAAGATACATGTGAAGAATCTACAATTATCTCAAAATAAAAAGTTTAAATAAAATAAACATCTTAAAAAAGACTTTACCTGCTAATCCTGACATCGCTGGTCTATTCACCTACTGCTATGTCCTTATTTCTACTTGCCATTCAAATCAAATTCCTTCTTTGCTCTTGGATTTTTGATTCTTATTTTATCCAGATAATCCAGAGTAATTTCAAGTGAAATTACTCTTGCTAGAATCAATGATAATCTTCCAATTGAAAAACAAAAGTGAAACTTGCTAGTTTTTTTAATGTACTCAGCCTCTAAATATTTGACACTGATGGCTACTCCTCTTCTATTAAAAACTCTGCCTCCTCTGCTTCCATAAGAATACCCTCTACCAAGTCTTTTCCTGCCTCTTAGCTGCTACTTGGGTGGAGGCTGGGAGGGTGATGGGGAAGGAGGCTTTTTCTTTCTTTTTAACATCCAAATGCTGGCTTTACTCAGGGTACAAATGTTCTTCACATTCTATACATATTTCTTGGGCTCTCTCATATTCAGCCATTCTATCTAAATGATACAGAATATAGACCTTCCTTACCAATATCTATTCATATAAACTGTTTCTAGATCAAGGTGAGTATCTCACAGAAAATTCAGACATAATATATTCTAGACTACCCTCTCTTATTCCCCCCAGCCAAAAAAAATCTGTTTTCCTACATTCCTATAAATTACAGCCAGGCACAGTGGGTCATGCCTGTAATCCCAGCACTCTTGAGAGGCCAAGGCTGGTGGATCACCTGGGGTCAAAAGTTCGAGACCAGCCTGGCCAATGTGGTGAAACCACGTCTCTACTAAAAATACAGAAATCAGCTGGGCATCATGGCGGGCACCTGTAATCCCAGCTACTTGGGAGGCTGAGGCAGGAGAATCACTTGAACCCAGGAGGCGGAGGTTGCAGTTAGCCAAGTTTGTGCCATTGCACTGAAGCCTGGGTGACAGAGTGAGACTCCGTCTCAAAAAAAAAAAGAAATGTTCTACCAACCTTATAATTTTCCTAAGATGGAAATCTGAGAATTTAGGATAACTAGACTCAACTGTGTAGGCTTTTCCTTCCTTAACCTCCGTATCTAATAAGTTTCTATGCCATTTCAATTCTTCTGAATCTCACGTGGCTTTGAAGGTCTTCTGCCAGTTTCTTAACTCAGTTAAATTCTGATCATCTCCCAGTTGATCTATCTCTTGGTCTGGCTCTTTTCCATTCTTCATACTGTTTATAAGTTGATTTTACTAGTGCCCAAATTTCTTCCATGGTTCCACACTGCTTTCAGGTTCTATATGTTTCTTAGTGTGACACAGAAGACCTTTAAACCTCTACCTACTTCTCATCCTCATCTCCTACAGCTTACCCTTCTCTTCTGCTCTCTAGTCTCACTGAGCCATCTGGCAGTTCCCTAATGTGCCACACTGTCTCCTGGTTTTACCTTTCAACAAGTTCTTTACTCTTCCAGGAATACAGCCTTCCATTTGCATGGCTCCCACTCAGCCCTCATGATGGAGCTCCAGCACATCCTCCAGAGAAGTCTGGCTGAACACCTCTCATTCTGCAGTGACCATCTATAATTACTTTGCAGACTTTACAGTATCAATTGATTTCCTTCTTAATCTCCTTTTAACTCAAAACTTTTAGGAAACATTCTCCAATTACACAAATTCCCTACTATGATCCAGATTGATCCCTCTGTCCCAGTGAGACCATTATAATTACTGTACTTATCCAAACCATTTATGATCATTCTTTCTAGTCTCTTATATTAGAATGTAAACTGCTGGAAGGCAAGGAATTCTGTCCATGAGAACTTAGGACATGATAACATGTCTCTAAAAACTTTATAAATACTAGCTGAGTCTTCAAAATGAACAGACCAGCCTAGACAACATGGTGAAAACTCATCTCTACTAAAAAAAAAAAAAAAAAAAAAAAAAAAAATAGGCTGGGCGTGATGGCTTATGTCTGTAATCCCAGCACTTTGGGAGGCCGAGGTAGGTGGATCACCTGAGATCAGGAGTTCGAGACCAGCCTGGCTAACATGGCAAAACCCTGTCTCTACTAAAAATACAAAAGTTGGCTGGGCATGGTGGCACACACCTATAGTCCCAGCTACTCAGGAAGCTGAGGCAGGAGAATCGCTTGGACCTGTGAGGCAGAGGTTCCAGTGAGGCGAGATCACACCACTACACTGCAGCCTGGGTAACAGAGCAAGTAAAAAAAGAAAATTAGCCAGGGTTGGTGGTGCATGCCTGTGATCCCAGCTACTAGGGAGGCTGAGGTGGGAGAAATTCATGAGCCTGGGAGGTCAAGCCTTCAGTGAGGCAAAATCACACTACTGCACGCCAGCCTGAAAAACAGAAAGAGACCCTATCTCCAAAAAAAAAGGAAAATAAACAGAAGACTGTTCAAGGAAAAGAAGTGAATTAGTTACTAGAGATAAACTAAGCTATTAAAAGTACTACAAATACCACCATTCTTTAAAATAATAGATATTGCATCTCAGTTCTGATAGCCTTTCAAACTGACCTTAGTCTTGTGGAACACTCTCCTTCTTCCTTGGCTACCCATCCAACATCAGCAAAAGACGCCACTGCATCCTCTCCTGGGTGGCTGGGACTCCATTCTGTTGCATGGCTGGTAAGCTATAAGTTATAAATAGGGAAAGTTCTTCACCTGGCACCAAAATGTTAGAGCAAATTTTTTTTACTCACCTAAAGGAAAATTGTCAGCTCTGGTGTTAAAAACACATGAGTGGTTTCTAACTCTTCCACTGAAGGTCCCTGATTGTTAGTCATAATCACATGGTTGCCTGATAGTATATGACAATCTCAGAACTATAATTTAACTTTATTCAGTTTTCATTTTATAAGTTGATTTTTTTAAAAAACTATTCATCCTAGAAAATTAAGAAAAATTTTAGAATCTAAGCATGAAAAAACATTTTCTAAAGAGATTTCAAAAGGCATGTGTAAGCAGGGGGGTATAAGAAAAAGCAAAAGACGAATGTGGGCTAAATCCAGAAATATTTTAAATGGCTATTATATAGCTGTTTTGTTATAATGTTTTATATATGTATATATTATGTTGAAAATGTTTTTTAAAAATGCCTTAAATCTCCTAATCTAAGTATTAAAAAACAAAAGAACAAACAACAGAACAGAATTCTCTACCTAAACTTAAACAGATGGATGCAAACAAAGAATATTTTGAAATAAATACAAAAAAGAAGACCGCTAGGTGCGGTGGTTTCCGCCTATAATCTCAGTACTTTGGGAGGCTGAAGGAGGTGGATCACTTGAAGTCAGGAGTTCCACACCAGCCTGGCCAACATGTTAAAACCCCATTTCTACTAAAAATACAAAAATCTTAGCCAGGCATGGTGGCACACACCTGTAATCTTAGCTACTCAGGAGGCTGAGGTGGGAGGATTGCTTGAACCGGGGAGGCGGAAGTTGCAGTGAGCTGAGATCAAACCACTGCACTCCAGCCTGAGTGACAGAGTGAGACTGTCTCAAAAAGAAAAAGAGAAAAAACAGAGAAAAGACAAGCAGGATATATTGAAATTTATCTTGAAAAGGATGATAACTGAGTTAAATTTAGATTTTGTTACACATATAATAATGACTGAGTCAAAAAGCCAATAAATAATTTTTAAATAAAGTTATCAGATTAATATGATATTTCCTAAAAGTACGAGTGAGGTTTAAATAAAAAAGAAAAACAATCGATCCATACATTTTTTTTTTTTGACACAGTCTCACTCTATCGGCAGGCTGGAGTGCAATGGAGCCATCTCAGCTCACGGCAACCTCTGCCTCCCAGGTTCAAGTGATTCTCCTGCCTTAGCCTCCTGAGTAGCTGGGATTACAGGCACACTCTACCACGCCCAGCTCATTTTTGTATTTTTAGTAGAGATGGGGTTTCACTATGTTGGCCAGGCTGGTCTCAATCTCTTCACCTCGTGATCTGCCCCCATTGGCCTCCCAGAGTGTTGGGATTACTTACAGGCATGAGTCACCACTCCCGGCCTACACTTTTTCATAAAGGAAAAAATGAAAAGACCAAAGAGATTTGGTGATTAATATGTTTATCAAAAAGGTTACCCTTGGGACTCAGACACTGCTCAAACCTCCTCAGTGTCATCAATGCCAAGTCAAACTTTTGGAAGATACACTTAAGCAATGCCTCTTCCTTAAACACAAATATACCAGGCAGATATGTAATACTAACATTGTTGACAGTGTAAAATATCTTTAAAGTAATATAATGAATAAAACTTTAAACATATCAGCTGTTGGTATTTGTACTCATTCTGGTATCATGATTATCTAATCAACTTAATAAACTAGCATTAAAAATAACATTTTAAGGGCCATGCAGGGTGGCTCACGCCTGTAATCCCAGCACTTTGGGAGGCTGAGGTGGGCAGATTACTTGAGGTCAGGAGTTCAAGATCAGCCTGGCCAACATGGGGAAACCCAACCTCTACTAAAAATACAAAAATTAGCCAGGCATGGTGGCAGGCACCTGTAATTCCAGCTACTAGGGAGATTGAGGCACGAGAATTGCTTGAACCTGGGAGGCAGAGGTTGCAGTGAGCTGAGACTGTGCTAATGCACTTCATCCTGGGCATTAAATCGAGACTCAGTTGCAAAAAAAACAAAACACAAACCAAAAAAAAATGACATGTTAACAATAAAGTATTGGCCGGGCATGGTGAGATTACATTCTCACGCCTGTAATCCCAGCACTTAGGAGGCTAAGGCGGGTAGATCACAAGGTCAAGAGATAGAGACCATCCTGGCCAACATGGTGAAACCTTGTCTCTACTAAAAGTACAAAAAATTAGCCGCGCGTGGTGGTGCGTGCCTGTAGTCCCCCCTACTCGGGAGGCTGAGGCAGGAGAATTGCTTGAAACCGGAAAACAGAAGTTGCAGTGTGCCAGGATCACACCCCTGCACTCCAGCCTGGTGAAAAGAGTGAGACTCTGTCTCAAAAAAAGCAACAATAAAGTACTGACAATATCGAGTATCTAAAGCACTTTAAATTCAGCCAGATGTGGTGGCTCATGCCTGTAACCCCAGCACTTTGGGAGGACGAGATGGCAGATGCCTTGAGGCCAGGAGTTTGAGATCAACCTGGGCGATATGGTGAAACCCCTGTCTCTACAAAAAATACAAAATAATTAGCCAGGTGTGGTGGTGTGTGCCTGTAGTCACAGCTACTTGGGAAGCTGAGGTGGTAGAATCATTTGAACTCAGGAGGCAGAGGCTGTAGTGAGCCATGATCGCACCACCGCACTCCAGCCTGGCCAACAGAGTGAGATTTTATCTAAAAAAAAAAAACAGTAGAGATTTTTAAGTCTTGAAAAAAAAAATCCTAAGAAGAAAAACAAAAAAATAAAATCTTGCCCCCAACACAAACAAACCTAATAATGAAATTATGATTATAAAAAGCTTTCAAATGCTAATATGCATATAGTGGAAGTAATTTGTAGTCAGAAGAGGGAAAAGGTATAAACTTCAGTAAGTAAATTCTCAAAGTATGAGATCAAAAGGAAAATTTTTCTACCTTTCCCTATGTGGTTCAGAAACTTATCCAAACAGATATTCAGCAAATGGGTATCTCATACAACTTAAATAATGTAACTGGGCATCATATCTGATCTCCAGAGTTGAGAAATCAGATAATGTTCTGTTCCTACCCATTACTGAAAACAGAATGGTATCCTGATATTCCCATAAGGATATTAGGAGATTCTACTGGGTTATGTGGCATTCCTACAGCAGAAATGTTCCCAAGCCCTGTGAGGCTCCCAGCAGAGAGATGGTATTTAATGGGCTGTTTTGTACAAGTGTTAGAGAAATCCTAAGACTAAAATCTGAATGGTACCTTCCTAAGGTGCTAATTCATGAGATGATCAATCTGATCATGACTCTGTTTTGAAAATAAAAATTATGTTCCAATATAATGACTAGTTGGTAGAAAGTTAGCTATATTTAAGACAAAGACTTCTTACTTTCCCACAGAAGTTACAAAAATAGCTGTTTTCTTCTAAAACATTTATAAAAGGAAACAAAGTGTGGGGAGTAGGGAAGGAAAAAAAACAAAACAAAACAAAAAAAATGAAGTACTACTTTTCTTTTTGTTGTTGTTGGGACCAGGTTTCACTCTGTGTCACCCAGGTTGGAGTGCAGTGGCGCCATCTCGGCTCACTGTGACCTCCCACCTCCCAAGTTCAAGCCATTTGCCTGCATCAGCCTCCAGAGTAGCAGGGATTACTGGCATGTGCCACCAAACCCGGCTCATTCTTTTGTATTTTTGGTAGAGATGAGGGGTTTTGCCATGTTGCCCAGGCTGGTCTCAAATTCCAGGGCTCATGAGATCCACCCGCCTCAGCCTCCCAAATTGCTGGGATTACAGGCATGCGCCACCATGCCTGGCCATACTACTTTTCTAAGAATACATATTCAAAGAAATATAAGTTAACTCATTTTAAGGATATCTTAAATACAACTAAGGATTAAACACATTTCTCAATTTTACATCTATAAAATAATGCCTCCATAAAATAATCTGTTAAACATAAAATGGTAGCTTTTGCACAAACTTTAAAAAAAAAATAACTAGATATAACAAACTATTCCATGGACTTAGTTTGGATCTTACTCAAGCATTAATTATGCAAATGTTACCATGTCAATAATATGTGCTCAATGAGATGAAAATCTTAATGATATTGTCAGGAACCAATTCCAAAACTGGTAAGATGTATGTGATTTCTACTTGACATCCTCTCCCACAAAACAAAATAGTTTTGGCATTTAAGTCAAACTCATTCAAAAGACAAAATAAATCTGGCAAAAAATATTCTTTATAAAAGGCCATTTCAGATGTTGGTGAGGAAAGCATTCATTGAGTGACACAGGCACGGAATGCAAAGGACAATTTCCAAGACAATGCACTTATAGTAAAGTACAAGTCGAGGTGAAATCAGCCCTGGCAAGGACTGACAGTAAGAAATTCTTGGAAATGCAATTTAGACACCAGGACATGCATAGACGACAGATGGGAAGTTTGAAAAAGAAAAGGACAACTTACTGAAGAATCCCAGCAAGGTCCTGTCCTACTACAGCTATTGTTAGTGGAAAAAGAAAAAAAAAAAGTGAAGAGAGAAATTTTTTTTTCAGAATCACATTTCATTCAGGGCAAAATTCAATAATAAAACTGTATTTAATAAAGTGCATGTTACTAAAATACAAATGTACAAAGGTAGAAAAGCTTAGAATAAAAATGTTAGAAGCACTAATTTTGTCCTCTTATGACTTCATAAAATAAACACAACAGTACTGGGAACTAGGATTCTCTGCAAAGGGCATGATAGTAAACACACTCATTCTATTTTACGACCACTTCTTTATAGCCAAATGCATAACATATACGGATTCTTTCTGTTTCTTGGTTTGTTTTTGAGACCAAGTCTTGTTTTGTCACCCAGGTCAGAGTGTAGTGGTGCAATCTTGGCTCACTGTAACCTCCACCTCCCAGGGTCAAGCAATTCTCCTGCCTCCTGAGTAGCTGGGATTACAGGCGCCCACCACCGCACCTGGCTAATTGTTATATTTTTAGTAGAGACTGGGTT